ATTATTTATTTAATATATTTAATATATTATTTATGTAATATATTTAATATATTATTTATTCAATATATTTAATAATATTATTTATTTAATATATTATTACATATTTTCAAAAATTAAACCACCAAATACAGTTTCAGTTTTTTTTAAACTGAAATCAATCTCAGAATAAAACTACCAAACGCATTTTCAAAAATGATTCCAAAATGAAAATAAAAACGTTTTTATTTTCATTTTCATACAAAAAATAAAAACGTTTGAGAAACAATTCCAAACGCACCTTTAGATTGCCATCTTATTAATGTTTCCCTATACTTAGAATACCTTTTAGTATATTTTATAATACCCAAAATATCTTTGTATAAAGAACCGTGATAGGATATATATAAACATTTTATAAGCGCGACTCTTTTTTTTCTTTTTATTTTCCTTTGCTGATGGTAGAATAAAAACTTTTTGAAAAGTGTGGTTTACGCCTGCACTATTCTACTCCTAAGTCCTAACTTTAAAATCTCATCCTATTCTTTTTTTTTTTCTTTTTTCTTTTTCCATATATTATTTTCTTTCATTCTTTTTCCATATATTATTTTCTTTCTTTCTTTTTCCCCTCTACTGCCCTGTGTTCTTATTTATTCTTTTTTAAATATCTATGTTCTTATAATTTTTAAAACACGTGCAGGTTTTTTTTACGAAAGTTAACTAAAGAATGTTACGTGTTAAATAATTATTTACATTAACAGTAAACTAAAAAAATTAAAATTGTTGATAATAATAATAAAATAAAAAAATATATACATACATTATATTAACATTCTCCTACTATGGCTTAATTTGGTATTGCTTTTCTCTCCTAAAATTAGCTTCTGCTTGTAGCACACTATAACAAATATCAATATCAGTAGCTGACCAAAAACACTATTAGTCACTAACAATAACATTTTATACAGCGCTAAGACATCGAACGCTATTAAAAGTCCTAAAAAAATATAACGTTCTAAGAGAGTTATTAAAAGCGCTATAAAATTGAGGTATTATAGTGTTTAAGACAAGTTATTTTCAACCTCTTACAGTTATTTAGCATGACTACGATATAAATTAATAGCTTTTTTTCCTTGTCATGCTCATACTCTTGTAGCTTTTTAAAATTATTATTGATATCCTTTTGAATTCATTCAAATATATAGTAATTCCGAGCAACATCTTGTATCTAAATAGGAACATTCAAATTAAAACATAAAAACATTCAACTTATCAATTGTTATCAGTATCTACCAAGTTGGCAATAAAATTACATCTATAACATAATTCATACAATGTCCAAAACCTTAACATTCAAAACAAGTAAAGAAAACAAAGGAATAGCTGGAGATATTAAAGTATCCAAAACATCTAACTAAGTGAAATGGTGAAGTAAATCCTTCCATCTTGACAAAATGCTTCAACAAAAAAGTCATCTCCACCGGTTAACCTGTAAAAAAGTGATCCACTATCAAAACAATAATCAAACTCAACTAAAACTTCCACCATTTAACCTATAAATAAAGCAAGGACTAGTTACATCATTCACAACTACGTAGCCACATCCACATATTTTGTGGTGAGTTAGAGGAAACATGGCTTCAATGATGCACTAGACAAAAATTTAATATCAAACTTGTAAGACAGAGAGTATCTTACATGTATTGGTATGTAGATAGTTGGAAAAAGCATGAGTCTTCATTGCCTACATTTAAACCCGAAGAGTATAAATGTACCATGTCTTCAATTAGGCGAGCATATCCTTTGCGGCTGGTTGTATGTGGAAGTAGTTTCTTCCTCATGTTTTGATACTTTTGACTCCTTTCCTAGTAAAAAAATTAAAGAAAGCACCATATGCATAAACATGGAGTACATAAACGAGTGATTCCAATAGGTTTTTAAGTTATTTATACCTGAAAAACTAGACTTGTTTTCTCCCTTACAAAAGCTGGACTTCTTCAAGTTCCAGCATCTTCTCTCCATCGATGACACGCTGACATAGCCTATTAAAGAAAAGACACAAACTAAGTAGCGCATTTCTAGGAGCTTTTTGGCAACAACCCTCTCAAGACTACTGGTAGTAACTGTTGCATGAGTACATGGCAATCATGAGACTTCAAGCCCATGATTTTGCAGTAAATAATTTCAACCTCTTTGTTATTGATGGCTTTTGATTCCTATCTTTCTCTGCATCATGCTATTTTTGCCATATTGGATTTGAATAATGAACATTTTTTTTATCATCTTTTTTTAACTTTACAAGTAGTTTGATCTATAGTTTCATTCCTACTTTTGTTTTAGGAGTAGTCTAGAGCACGTTGTCCTTGTTCTAAAATTAAGTATTTCAGAAGTCCAATATACTCTCTCTTACAGAAACAAAAGAGTGAAAACAATCATCATGTAGAAGAAGTGCCAAACGGCCAAATAAACTTACAGAACCAAAAGAGTGCAAGAACCCCCCAAAGAAATATAACAGACCTTGGTGCTTTCTGGATATCACCGATGTTGGTTTTCCGCTACAAATCTGTCCAAAAGAGTGCAAGAACCCCCCAAAGAAACATAACAGACCTTGGTGCTTTCTGGATATCACCGATGTTGGTTTTCCGCTGCAAATCTGTCAAAAGCAAAAACTTGTCACAAACTATTCTGTCATTTACAAATCTGTCAAAAACAAAAATTTTATGACCTAGAGATTGTGGGTTTTTTCTTGACGTGGCGGCAGAACCCTGGTTCTGCTCTTTCCTTGGCAGCCAGTTCTTGGATCTGTGGCTCTGTGTAGTAGTCAGAGCGCCGGAGCTTCGGCATTAGAGCCTCAATGTCTGCACCATGCTCATACACAATAGCAGCCCCGCCAGCTCTGTGCCCACTTAGGTCATATAAGAATCCCCCTTCTGAATAGTATGGTCATCATGTACTTCATTAGATTTCTAGTTCACTTTGACAAGATTGACTTTCTCCTGAACAAGACCATCTTCACGTAAATCTTCTGCAACAATAAACAGAATTCAATTGGATATTAGCTAAGCACTTCCGAAGATTAACAAAAGAGAACAACATTAGTTTTTTTTTAAGAAAAAAAACAAAAAAACAAAAAAACCAAGAAACAAAAAAAAAAAAAAAAAAAAAGAGAGAGAGCACACAAAAGACAAGAACAAAGCAAAAGAAGGAACCAGTGACCACTAATCAATCCTCCATTAGCCTCCAAACACTCAATCAATTACAGAAGCATATATGATAAACACATCATTTGTTTCTAATAACCATACCCAGAAATTTGATAAACACTTGTCAATAATAGCAGGAAACACCAAACACTCAATCAACTACAGAAGCATATATGTTCAAACCGAAGGTACCAAACTAGAAGGAGCTACATATATAATAGAATCAATATTGTTGGAGTGTGTTTCCGCTTAAAGTTGAGGTTGATATTAAGATCATTAGTCATTACTAACCTAACCAATGGCGATAACAATACCAGAAGTAATCCACATAAACTTTCAAATGGAGACAGGTAAAAGTGTTCCAAGAACTATATCTAGTGTCTGCAATTTATGTCATTCTAACTTTTTCAGTTTCTTTGAAGAACCAAGGGCCGAAAGAGCCAGAAACAAAACTTGGTTGTTAAAAATGCCAACAAAAATGTAATTTACTGGACAACAAGACCATAAATAAATGTAATGTATACGTACAAATTCCCAGACAAGCCCACTGCACCCCCAGTCGTATTGGCTACCAAAGGAAGAAAAATATACAAGTCAGCAAAATCAAAATGTTAAGACTGTACAATCGAACAAAAATATAGTACACTTAACTCACCTGGTTGACTAGGCTCCTGCATCGCGTCACACTTGTAAGAGAATGCAACAACAATTCATGCAAACAATATTCATACACAGACAAAAATTATTATAAAACTTATTATCGCCTTTAAAATTAGTGAATCCGAGAATCAGGCCACAAAATTAATGTAACCAGTTATGGAAATCGAAAAAGACTCACCAAACCCAGAACTCTGAGCTCCAAAAGGAGAAGTAGAAGTGCCAAAAGGGCTGCTGCCAAAGGCAGAAGTTGATTTGCCAAAAGCAGGCGAGGACGTAAAGTTGAAGGATGGAGTACTCGAGGCACCAAACGCACCGATCTGCAACAAAAATTTTATGACCTAGAGATTGTGGGTTTTTTTCTTCAACTACGGAATTTCATAGAAAACAAAAATCTAACCAAAAGCACCGATCTGCACATAGAGAAGAACGAACGATTTAAGGAGAAAGAAGCCCAAAAAATCAAGGCATACCTTCGTATCTTCTATAAAAACCCAAACTGGCATCTTCTATAAAAACCCAAACGAATCGATCTGCAGAGAAGAACGGACGAAGAGAAGGATCGAGTGATGCACAATGGGATGGAAGGATTTTTGGGCGCGGTAGCTTCTTTTTTTTTTTTTGGCTGGCTGGGTGGGTTTTCTTCGAGTGACTGGGGAAACTTTGGGAAAATGGCTTCTCGGGAAGCTACAGGAGAAAACCAAACAGGGATTGAAATTTGTTTCAATTTTCGGGGGGAAGCAGAAGCGGGAATTTGGATTTACGGGGGAAGCCATTTTCACCAAATTAAATTCTAATATATATATATATATATAAAACATTACCGCCAACATATTTCATGATTTTTTAATATATATATATACACTCAAAATAACTTTTATGAAACGCTATAAAATTCAAACAAAATAAGTTTTAATAGCGGTTTTTCAAAAACGCTATAACTAAAAGTTATCAAAAGTCCATTCTGTTGTAGTGGCAAAAGCTGATTTTAGTATTTAGTAAATCTATTTAAAAGTACTTTTTGAAGAATTTTTCAAGAATTTAGCCAAAATCAGAAGCAGCCTACAGACAACTTTAGCTTTTAGTTTGTGCGGGAATCAATTAATGAAACTTTCATAATACTCATAATACCTCTAATAAAATTTAAAATTTACAATCTTCTCAATCTAAAATTCACACTCGTAATATAATATAATATAATATAATAGTAATATTGTAACAAATAATATCATAATTATATTAATAACTCTAATATTATCATTTTATCATATATATTATAATTATTTTAATAATATGATATTATAATTATAATATGATATTGTAATTATTATTTTATAACATATTATATATTATATTGTATTGATATAATTAAACTTATTATATTAATAATATTACAATAATATTATTACATTATATTATATTGATATAATTATATTTATTATAATATGATAATATAATTATAGGCAAGGTCTGAAATTGGTAACTGAAGAAGACTTTTTCCTTTTTGTGTTTGCCTTTTGGCCTATATTAGAGTCTAGCATTAATTAATTACCATTAATTTCTTGCCAACAGTAGTGTTACTAAGTGGTGTATATGTTAGAAATCACCAAAACTTATTATAGCAACATACTTTTAATTCTGTAGTCGTAATTTCTGTTTGTCATATTTATGGGTAATCTATTTGTATGATTGTATAGCATCACTAGATCTATAGTAATAAACTATTTTTATACATATTATATTATAGTATAATATAATATAGTTGTAATTTTTAACTATCCACAACAATTCAACCTTATAATTTACCAAACGCTATTATACTGATTTTGTAACCAGCACAGCTACTATAATTATAGTTTACCAAACATTCAGTTGCTTTTTATAACAGCTGCTTCTTCCTTCAGCACAGCTAAAAGTAATTTTTCCAAAATCTACAACTCTATCAAACTAAGCCTATGTCTATTTTGGTAATTAAACATACATAATAAAATCAATCTTATAGTTTGTCAAACATCATGATACTACTTTTAGAACTAACAACACTTTAAAAATTATAGTTTACCAAACACTCTGTTACTTTACAGAATAGCTACTTTTTGCTTCAGCACAGTTACAAGCAATTCTTTTAAAATCTACAGCATTACCAAATTGGTCTTTAGCCATCTAGTTAAGTGATAACTGAGACTCCTCTCTAATTTAGCCATCTAATTAGGTGATAACTGAGACACCTAATTAACTGAGAATTCATTAAGCTTTAGGCTCACTCAAATGGCTTATACTATTCTAGTGTAATCCTTTGAAAATATATATATATATATATATATATATTTTTTTAATATCTTTTTAACGTTAAATCTTATTACTACTATCATGTTTGCAGATTTCTACTAATATGGATAGTTAAGCTTTGTTTGGTATGGGGGTTCAAACCAGAGTGATTCTAGTTTTAATTTTAAAACTAGAATCATGATTCATTATTTTGGGTCCAAATCATGGTTATGAAACCAAAACCAGAATCATGAGTTTGAACCACCCAAAATCAAGGGGGAGGTGGTTTTAGAATCATGGGTGATTCTGGTTTAAAACATCACATCAGGGTTCAAACCTTGAATCAAAACCATCATAACCAAACATTGATTCTGGGTGAGTCAAATCAAAACTACTTTTGACTTTTTATAAACAAACACTGATTTAAACCAGAATCATGGTTCTGAGTTCTAGAACCCTCATATCAAACGTGCTCTTAGTTTTGGATAAAGTTATTAAAATTTTCCCTCCGTTTCATTTTGAAACATTTTCAAAAATTTCCCCCTATATAACTACATTTCATCAATTATTTTTATTTAGAAGTCAATAACGGCTCTTATTCCTTGTTACAACTAGTCTTATTTTTGTTATTGTTTTTAAGTGTCTTTGATTCCCTAAAAGAGTTTACTTTCCTATGTATTAAATAGAGGTCGGTAATGAAGGCCTCGTTCATTTCACCGATTCGAGTTTTCAGTTTTAAGTTTCTATAGTAAAAAGCTCTAAAAAAATGTCACATTTAACTTTTTTTGCTACAGTGAAAAACTCTCACAAAATATCACATCTCAACTCGAATTGAAAACTCGAATCCGCAAAGTGAACGAGACCGAAGGCTTTCCTTCCTTATTCTCTTTTACTAAAATAAAAAATCAACCTTAATTGAATATTGCAGTCCTTCAAATACATGAGCTGGAAATTTGACTATGATTTCAAGATGAGTATATTTTTCTATTTATTTTCTTTAATAATGCCACTAATTTAAGATATGTCTTAACTATTATTATTATTATTATTTTTATTTTTCAGGCTTGTTTTATACTTGACTTTTCATTCTCACATAAAAATTATAGTGTCTTATAATTATTATTATTTTTTTTTTTCCTTTAGACAGTTTGATAAATCTTTCATGTGTTGTTTTTGCTATACATGATTTATACTTATTTGCTTTTTGGACAGAGAGAGACATTTGAATGCATGAATACCTTCCACTATTGATTGTTGTATTTGTATCTATTGGGTAGTACTTAATAGGTACTTTTATCTACTAAAAAAAAAAAAAAAAACCTCTTCAATTGGCGGCAAAAACCCCTTCTAACTAGCAAAACCTAGTCCTATCTCCTCCCTTACTCTGGCGCTGTGTTTCCTCTCTCTCTCTCTCTCTCTCGCCGACTCTGCAATTGAGTTTCATCATAACCAAGTAACTCTAACAGGTATAGCAATTTTATTACGATTCTTCTGTTTGGGGTTTAATTGAGCCTGGGGATTTTCTGACATTTGAATCCTAATTCACAATTGTTTTACCCTCTCTTAAATCCCGTCTCGCTTGTGTTTCGTTTTTCGTTTCAATTTGATGAATCTCCATTTCATTTCCTACAGTTTTCTTGCACAAAAAAGGAAAAAAGTTGGGACTTATTATCGCATGCTTTGAAATCCAAAAAAAAAAAAAAAAAGAATACTTGCACACCCAGAATATACACACACACTTTCATTTTCAGGTTTATATCTGGTCCCATTGTCAACTTGTAAGCAACTTTATACTCCTACATATGATTGTAACTTCTGTGTCTCTAATATTATCATTATCTTATTCGTCATTTTTCTGGTATGTGCTTCGTTTGTTTGTTTCTTTGCTTATGAATATATTTCTGGCCTTTTCAATTGATCCTTTTCCAGAACTGTGTGATTTTTAATTCTCTTTTTCTGCCCTTATGAGTGATTATACTAGTATTTTAATGTCCATTTTCGTTTTTTCTTGGCCTTTGAATCGAAATTTGTATATGTGCAGTTATACGTCTGATTTCCCTAGTGGGTTTTTGTCTTTGAAGTAGAATTCGTGCAGAAATGTGCTTTCTAAACATATTCTCTTTCACTTAATGATTATCCTGGTGTTAAACGTATTTACCAATGTTTGTTTTTTATTCTCTTGTTTTTATATAGTGTCTTTCTCTTCGAATGTTATGCATTTTGCTAGTCATTATTGATGTTTTTTGACATTGGGATTATAAATTGGTATTGTACAGTGTAATATCAACCTTTTCAAGAATCGGTTTTGTTGTTTTTTGTAATCACAGAGCATTGTTGTTATAATTTTCCCGTGAGTTTTTTGTTTATCTTTCTTTCTTTGTTTTATGTTCTTTTCAGAATCTTCTTCTTTTTAGTTTTTACATAACTATATATGTTTCCTCTTGGATACCATATCTATTATAAGTTTTGATATTTCTCATTGTTCTCTTTTAAGAATACCCTCACTTTCCTCTACCAATAACAATTTTTCCAGTATACTTGTCATTATTGATAGCTTCATAAGGTTTCTTACAACAATTGTATTTTGTAGAAAGCTATTTAAAAAGAATTATGTTTTGCGGTTATCATGATTATTATTTAATTTAAATTTTTTAAAATTTGTTCTTATTTTCAAATGCTTAGTCATATAGAGTTATTCATGTTTTATAATTATATATAGGATTAATTACAAAAATTCCCCCTGAACTATGACTCGTGTAACACTTTGCCCCCCGAATTTTAAAAAGTAACATCTGTTCTCTTGAGCTTCATTCCGTTAACAATTTTACCCCTTCTGTTATATTAAGTGACAGAATTTGCCACGTGTCACTTATTTAGTTATTCTTAATGAGAATTGAGTGCGCAGTTACACTTCTACTCTCGTAGTCAGATAATTCCCTATTTTTACTTTTAATATGACAAAATTAAAAAAAAAAAAACGAATTTCTCCTGAAAACTCCCTCATTCCCATTCGTTCCCTTCCCATAGGGCTCAAATCTTTTCCACTTCTTTCTAGTTTGTTCCCCTACTCTAATGCGGATTAGCTTCCATTCTCCTACTGGATCACGTGGGTTAGCTTCTTCGACATTCTTTTTGCATTTTGTTTTGGATGCTTTGCTGAATAGAAGATCGTGGTTGCTTTTGGGATTTGTTCTTTGTTTCGGAGATCAGATTGAGTGCTTTGCTAAAAACATTTCTTTGATTTTAAACCTTTTTCTTGTTCTTTGTTTTTTGAAATCAGATTAGGAATTTGCTAGGTATTCATTTTTGTCCTTCGATATTCTAATATCCATTTCTCTTTATTAGCATTAATTTCTTTTCTTTAAAAAAAAAAAAAAAAAAGGTTGTGTTTTAGTTGGGTTTTATTTGAATTTTCTTCAAAATACAAAATTTAAATAGGTTTTAAAATCCAAAAAGAGAGAATTACCAAAATATCCTTAAATTAGTGAATTTCTGTTGAAAAACTTAACAGAAGGGGCTATTTTGTTAGCGTTTCAATCCTCAGGGGAACTGATGTTCCTTTTTAAAGTTCGGGGGGTAAAGTGTTACACGAGTCATAGTTTAGAAGGGATTTTTGTAATTAATCCTATATTGTATTGTTACTCATACATATATAGCTTTTATTTTTGAGTTTCATTTCTTTTTGGTTTAGTTTAGTTTAGTTTTTTTTTTTTTTTTAAGGGTGTAAAGGCCTTTTCAAAATTTGTATGGGGATTAGTCTCTTTTAACAAGATTATTATGTCTTTATGAGAGTTTTATAAGTCTCTTTATGGGAGTTTCAATAGTTATTTGAAAATATTTCTTAAGTTGATGCAATAACCTTTTAAGTGATGACCATGAGCGGGTATGGATAATTTTTAAGCAAAGGAAAGCTTTAATATTGGAACTTTCATTTTTCAATTTCTTTCAAGAATATGCTTATTCTTATACTCAATTCAAAATTATTTTTGTCCTCATATTTTGTGATGGCTTCATTATCTTCAAAGATACTTGGATTCTGTTTGTCTAAATCTCCAATTTGTGGAGTTTGATGCATTGACGATCATCCAAACTGTGAAGATTTTTTTCTTTTTGTAATGAATTTAGAGTAATATTGTCAAATGCATCTAGCCTATTATCTTTTCCCAGGGGCTAAGTTATGCTAAGTGTTTTGGGAAGCTAATAAACCAGCCCATTTTTTGGCTACTTATGCTCTTACAAATGATGAGCTTTTTTGGTTGGAGAAATCTCCTCCTATAGAAACTGTTATTGTATCAAATGCTTATTGTTTACAATAACAGCTTCTATTCTTAAAAAAATAAAAACCTAATCCCCTCTCTAGTTCACACTTTCTCTCTCTCTCTCGTGCTTCCTTCGTTACACGTTCTTATTTCTCCCTCAATTTCCCCTTAACCCACGCGCCGTTGTCTCTCTCTCAGTCTCTCCTCACTCCGTTGCCGCCAATATGCAAGCTTGCAGTGGAGCTTATGCTGCAGTGACGGGCACACTCCAACAGCTCTTTTGGAACAACAAGACAACGCCTTTTCCTCACAACTTCCAAATCAAAACCGCCTCTTCCAAACCCATCAAAGCCTCTCATGTTGAAGCCACTCTGGTCACCGGACGACCGCCCCCCTTTGTCTCCGTTAATGGTATTGTTATATATATATATATATATATTTTTTTTTTTTTTTTTTTGGTTAGACAACTCTTCTAATTTAGTCATTCGTTATTTAGGATTGTGTTGTGTTTTAATAGGATTTATGGACTATGGATTAAGTGAGGATTAAGTGAGGCTGATCTTGAGGTGCATGCGATTGTTGATAAGGAGAAGGAGCGTCAGTTCAGAAGCCTTGAGCTTATTGCTTCCAAGAACTTTACTTATCGTGCGTTATGGAGACTGTTGGCTCCTGCCTCACTAACAAGTATTCTGAAGGCTTGCCTGGTAAGAGGTAAAATCCGCTTCTGATGCCCAAACAAATGTGTATATAATATGTTTATATATGGAAAGAGGCTTATTAAGATTTCACCAACGATCGATCATATGTGTAACATATAGAAGTAGACGGGTAACATGACTTTGTAAAGGCACAAGGAATTTATTTAATTGTTGTTCCAATGAATAAAAATCATGTTATAATCCTTATTTCTACATGTTACAGTATAAAATCGGTCCCTACTGAAGATTATGTAAACTGTTGCAGAAGTCTGCTTTAGTATGAATAATGCTAGGCGTACTAATTTTGTTAGCCAATTGAGGTTGTAAATTAGACTTGTTACTTTTTTTAGGCGGGTGCTATTAGTTTGAGGTGATAATTATATGAATGTCATACATGTCAGGTACTATGGAGTCAATGAATACATTGATGAGCTTGAGATTCTGTGCTAAAAGAGGGCCTTGGATGTTTTTCACTTGGATACAAAGAATGGGGTGTTAATGTTCAGCCCTTGTCCGGTTCTCCATCTAATTTTGAGGTTTACACTGCAATTCTTAACCCCCATGACCGAATAATGGTGAGTTGTTGTTCTAACGTTGGTTTAGTTTTCTTGTTACCATTTGTTCGTCTTTGAAATGAATGTATGATATTATAATTTGTGCATGTCACTTAGGGTTTGGACTTGCCCCATGGAGGACACTTGTCACATGGATTCATGACGCCTAAAAGACGAGTTTTGGGTACATCAATTTCTTTTGAGGCCATGCCTTACCGGCTTGACGAATCTACAGGTGCTTGTTTGTTATACTTTATGAGATATATGTCAATCGCCTTGTTTTATTTTCTAAAAGAGTAGAATGATTGTTGTATTAGTTTAGTGGTGGATTCTAACTTTTTTTTTTGGGTTAAAATTTGAAACATGCCTTGTTGATTATGACATGCTTGAGAAAACTGCTACTCTCTTTCGACCAAAACTCATTATTGCTGTGCTTTAATGAAGTCTTAGGGATTTTTTTTTTCTTTTGGGAAAAGGCATAGTACATCAAAGCTCATATCCGGACACACTCCAACAAAATGGGATAGTTGAACGGAAAAATAAACACCTCTTAGAAGTCAATAGGGCGTTGTTGTTTACTAATAATGTTCCTAAGTATCTTTGGGGAGAAGTTCTTTTAACCGCAACATACCTTATAAATCGCATGCCTAACAAAATCTTGAATTTTTGGACTCCTTTACCCACTTCTAAGTTGACAACCGATTTACCCTTAAAAAGTATTTGGGTGTAGTGCATTTATTCATATACATGACCAGAACCGTGAAAAGTTAGATCCTCGAGCTAAGAAGTGTGTATTTGTAGGCTATGCTCCGACTCAAAAAGGGTACAAGTGTTATGACTCAAGTTCCAAAAAAGTGTTTGTTACGATGGATGTCACTTTTTTTGAGTCAACCGTTTTTTGGTACTCATCTTCAGGGGGGGGAGGGAATAAATGAAGATTCAGAATTTTTTGATATTGTTCAACCCGTAACAAAAAGCACAAGTTTTTTAATAAATACGTTACTGAGTGAATCAAGGAAATGAGATTGAAACTTCTCAACACTGTCAAGAGTCTACACCTCAGATCGTTCATAACTCCATCGAAGTTCCAGGTAATCCTCATATAGTACCCACCGCATAAGTTTACCTAATCCTGAGCCTATTCATTCCGAACCTAACATATCTTAACTTGATCTTCCAATTGCTAAATGTAAAGGTGTCAGAAGTTGGGTAGTGTCCCATGTCCAATTTTGTATCCTATCTGTCACCAATGTTTTCCGCATTTACCTCACAATTGTCTAGTGTGGAGATTCCAAAGAATGTGCAGGATGCTTTAAAGGTGCCTGAATGGAAAGAGGCTATTCTTGAGGAAATGAAGGTTCTTGAAAAAAATGGGACATGGGAAGTAATAGAGTTGCCAAAGGAAAAGAAGACAGTTGGCTGCAAATGGTGTTCACAACAAAATACAGATCAGATGGATCTCTAGAAAGATACAAGGCACGCCTAATAGCTAATGTTGGAAAATACGGCATCGAGTGTGCAACGGAATTTTAAAAAATTTAAATCAATGCCAAAGCCAATCAAGAACATGTTCATGATGCAATATAACATAAATATTAAAAATCTAAATCATACCTTTTGAGATTTAGGAAACTGCACGTCTGACAGATTAAAGCGTTCCAAACATCAACCGGAAGAGCCTCAACCAACTAGTATTCTTTGCTATTCTCGTTTCCACGATCGGAGTGCGGGTGGACACACGTCGTTCAATCTCCTCTTGGTATTCTTGAACTCCTTCCAATCACAAGATAGTCAAAAGAAAAATCGTTCTTGAGAATTAAACAATTTTTCCTCTCAGGAATCTTTTGTCAATAGCTTCTAAAAAGTCTCTTAAGTGATCTAATGAATAATGTGACTTAATAGGCTATTTATAGTGTTTAGGAAGTTATATTTCCGTAACAATTAGGTTTTTTAAAGTTTATCTCGCTTACAGAGTCGGTTTCGTCACGTCAACACGCGTTACACGTTACAACCGGTCGATCGGTGACAGAGACGTTATAACTCATCGGTCGACCTGTCTTCATGAACCGGTCTACCCGACCGGTCGACCTGTCTGAATTAGCTAAACTTGTTTTCCTAGTTTTTCAACACGGAAAACTTGCATAGAGCCTCAATTTTGATTCAAGTAATGCAATAGAGAAGTTGCCTAATCAAAATAGTCATATAATAGTCTTCCCATATTAAAAAACTCTTAAAATAATAATTCAACCAATTTATTTAGAATTAATTTATCAATTAATTCACCCGATAAATCACTCATGAATTAAGCAATCTCATATTAACTTTGAACTTCTTTTACGGAAATAACACAAGTTACTAATATGTAAGAAATACACTGTATCGTTACAGGAAATTATGTGAGTTAACAAAGGGACCCGGTGGACATATATAAATCAAGCTCCTATAATCACAACGTTACTTGTAAACCAACAAGTATGTCTCATGAATATAAAACTCTAGCGCTACTCCACTAAAAGTCTAGAGCTGCACTCTCGATTTATATAGCGTATTTACAAAGTTCTGAATAACTCTCGTCCATGACTCAATATATTAGTGTGTCATCCCCATAGGATATCCATAATCGACTTGAGGTCAAGTTCCGTTTTACCTTCCCGATTACATTTATCTTATGTTCTATTATCACACCATCGGAAAATCACTATTCGTACCATTACAAATAGTAAACCATTAGATAACACAGAATAATCTAATGGCCGAGCGCTCGTATTTTTCAATCCACAGATAATGCATAAGAGGATATCATTGATTCTTTGTAAGAGCTATGGATTTCACTATCTATGAATAACGAATCTACGCATACACGAGTCATACCCTCAATGTACCGGTAAGCGTACATTTACATAATATCAGGATGTCTCCCTTTAATTAACTCCAAACTTTCTTGTTGTTGCCCTTCAAGTTTCCCTTTCTCTACTCAGTTTCTCAGATCCCACTTCTCACCTTGAAATAGACTAGGACCATGATTTAAGTGCAATATGCTATAAATGAAAGTAAAATGTGAAAAAGACAAAGAAAAACACACACAAAACAAGCAGCACGCAATAGAAACTGAAGATTTTGAGGAAGAATAATCTTCTCTATTTTCTCATTGAATTAATCGGTAAACAATACACACTTATATACACGATTTACATAACCTAAGAAGATAATAAATCCCTACAAATAGGGGAAATCTGAATAGGGGAAATCTGGATTCTCTAATCCATGGATTTTCTCCTATAACTACTCCTAAATATACGAACTTTAGAGGGAAATTCCACTCCCCCTCAAGTTGTACATATTGTACATGCCTAACTTGTTGCACAGTTCCTCAAAGTTCGGTCCTGGGAGTGCCTTTGTCAAGATGTCTGCAAGTTGCTCCCGGGTAGAAGTGTAGACCAACTGCACTTCTGAGTTTTCAATCTTCTCTGCTATGAAATGCCGATATATCTCCACATGTTTCGTTCTATCGTGATGAACTGGATCCTTTGCGATACTAATAGTAGCCTGATTATCGCACTTCAGTGTCACCGACTTCTCAAACTCCAACCCCAACTCGGTCATAACTCTCCTGATCCATACTCCTTCACAGATTGTTACTACTAATGCTCTTAGTTCAGCCTCTGCACTGCTTCTGGAAACCACAGTCTGTTTCTTACTTCTCCATATTACAAGGTTTCCCCAGACTAGAAAGCAATACCCTGTGGTTGACCTCCTATCTATCTGGCTTCCTGCCCAGTTTGCATCAAAGTATAGAACTAAATCTTTGCAACCATTTTTCTTAAACAATAACCCTTTTTCAGGGATCATCTTCAGATACCTGAGAATTCTGTACACAGCCTCCATGTGTTCCTCCATTGGATGGTTCATAAACTGACTTACCATACTCACTGCAAAGCTAATGTCAGGCCTAGTATGGGAGAGGTAAATGAGCTTCCCCACTAGACGTTGATATCTTCCTTTGTCTACTGGAGTTCCTTCCTCTTCACGCCCTAACTTCTTTGTAGAGTCCATGGGGTGCTTGCAGGTTTACATCCTAGCATACCAGTCTCTTTGAGTAAATCCAAGGTGTATTTGCGCTGAGAGACAACTATTCCCTTCTTTGATCGAGCCACTTCCATGCCTAGAAAGTACCGTAGAGGACCAAGGTCTTTTACTTCAAATTCTTTAGCCAAGGATCGTTTAATCTTCAATAACTCTTCCTCATAATCTCCGGTTAGGATGATGTCATTAACGTACACAATGAGAATGGCTAATTTATTCTTGGGAGAGCGCTTTATAAAGAGTGTGTGATCAGTTTGACACTGAATATAGCCATGTTCTTTTACCGACTGTGAGAATCTACCAAACCATGCTCATGGAGATTGTTTAAGTCCATACAGAGACTTCAATAACCTGCACACCTTATTGTTGCTGTTGCTTATTTGTAGACCCAAGGGGACTTCCATGTAGACTTCCTCTTCGAGATCTCTGTTAAGGAAGGCGTTCTTTATATCAAGTTGATGAAGTTGCTAGTCTAAATTCGCTGCTAATGAAAAGAGTATTCGAATGGTGTTAAGCTTTGCAACAGGAGCAAAGGTCTCCTGGTAATCAACACCATAGGATTGGGTAAAGCCTCTTGCTACTAACCGAGCCTTGAGCCTTTCAATGCTTCCATCTGCCTTGTGCTTCACCGTAAAGACCCATTTACAACCCACCTTTTTCTTTCCTGCCGGGAGTTCAGTGATGGTCCATGTTCCATTCCTTTCCAAGGCCATAATCTCCTCTTGGACAGCCTGTTTCCAACCTGGGTGACTCAGGGCCTCTTGAATGTTTGCTGGAATTTGTACATTATCCACCCTTGAAATAAAGGCTCTATAGGATGGAGAGAGACCTGCATATGATATAAAATTCTTGATTGGATGTTGAGTGCAGGTTCGATTACCTTTCCTTAAGGCAATAGGTAGTTCCAAATCATCTATAGTCTGAGTCTCATGTAACCCTTTTTGTTCCGGCTCATTTCAACCTCCTGTACTAGTTTCTACAGTCATTGGATCCGGTTCAGATTCCTGGACAGGTATGAGATGTGCCAAGTTCTCAATCTCCCCGTGAGGTTGTTTTTTCCTCCTGGTGTATACCTGGAGTTCTTTAGTTATTGGACGGGGCTCAAGGAGGGACTGGGAGGATTAGCCGATGGTTGGCCTGGACTGAATGGAGATGTTTCTGGCTGATTTGATGGTACACGGACTTGACTGGACATAGGACTAGACTCTGCATTTTGTGGCTGTATAGTTGGGCCGATTT